AATCTCAAATTGAGTCACATATCAAGAACTAATGCCTTACTTCCTTTGACCATCCTGTTCTTGTTTTTCTTACATGATTTTAGATCTAAGACTTGAGAAACAAAGATACTGTCAAGTTTATAGAAGATCACACATCACCTAGTTTTAAAAGAACAACTTTTAATTGGCTTTTGATTCCACAAAAATAGCTTTGGTTTGGCAATTCCTCTAAGTAATGTTAGACGCCTTAGTTCAACTCACTGAGTTTGTGAGAAAAGAAACAGAAAGCATCATGAGTTTTGAGAATGAGCACTGGCTCATGCGACAGGAGAAGTGGGTTCTGCTCTTAGCCTTGTCTTATCTGTGTGACTTGATAAACTATTTTTTATTTCTGGACCTCAGTTGCCTTATATATAAGATGAATGTTTGCTTTAAATATTCTTTATGACCTTTACTACGCTGCCATCCTGTGACTCTAAGGATATATATGTATAGATTAAGTCTGCTACATATGAATGAGATTTGTTCCAAGAGCCTAGTTTGTAAGTTCAACAAAGTTAGCCTAGGCACCCAAATAACATAGTTAGCTATTGAGTCCTGTACTGTAATGGGTGGTTTATATATATATAATTTTTTGCACAAATAATGTGTATAAAACAAACAAGTACAAAAATAAATAAAAGCTTTTTAATCTTACAGTACAGTACCTTGAAAAATACAATAGTACAGTACAAGAGCTGGCATACAGGGCCTGGTATCGAGTGAACAGGCAAGAAGAGTTACTGACTGGAGGTGGGAGATGGTAGAGCTGAAGGGTCGTCAGCAATAGGAGACAGAGGGCAAGCTGCAATCTCACTCATGCCTAACATTGATAGAACACATGTTCACATCTTTGTAAGTTTACAACTTGAAGGTTCATATGTAAGGGACTTATTGTACTTCTCTAGGCCAATGCCTGGCCTATGTGCCCACATTTTAAGTGCTGACAGCTGACTTTTCTTTTTGTAAAGCAAGTGCCTGACTTAAGTTTTAATTGTCAAGTCGGATTCTTCAAAGAGAGCCATCTAGAATAAGCACACCACCAGCCATTCTTTGCGTCTGCAGTTTCTTTGCTTCAGAGGTCTTGTTGGCTTCAAGAGCTGATCATTTGGGCTCCAATTTTTCTTTCCTTCATCTTTAAACTCCAGCTCTTATGTTTTAAGTTCACCAATAGAGTAAGCCTCCAAAACTCTACATCCTCACCCTCGACCTCAATAGAAGCAGAATCCTAGGCCCATATGTGTGCACGCTCTCTCTGTCTCTCCATGTGATCAGTGTGGACTCAGGTGTGCTATGTAATTTCAAGGTTCTATAAGCAATAAACCCTTATTTTCCCAAAACATCCTAATGGTTATTGCTGAAGGATGTCTTACAGTCATGATAAGAACCACAGGGGCTGGTCCAGGCCCAGCATTGATTACTGATAGCCTGAGACCAGCACAGCTCCATGGTAGTGTTATAGGTGGTNCTCCATGTGATCAGTGTGGACTCAGGTGTGCTATGTAATTTCAAGGTTCTATAAGCAATAAACCCTTATTTTCCCAAAACATCCTAATGGTTATTGCTGAAGGATGTCTTACAGTCATGATAAGAACCACAGGGGCTGGTCCAGGCCCAGCATTGATTACTGATAGCCTGAGACCAGCACAGCTCCATGGTAGTGTTATAGGTGGTTGTTGTTTAGTCACTAAGTTGTTTCTGACTCTTTGGGACCCCTTGGACTGTATAATACTAATTAATTATTATAACTCCAGTTTTTGATTAATATTATATTAGTGTGTCTCTTTTACAAATGAGAAGAAAAGGAGGCTTAATAAGGTTGAGTAGTTGTCCAGGGTCACAAATGTAGTCGGTGGCAATGCATGCATGCTCAGTTATGTCCAATTCTTTGCAACTCCATGGACTATAGCCCACTAGGCTTTTCTGTTCATGGGATTATCCCAGCAAGAATACTGGAGTAGGTAGACATTTCCTCCTTCAGAGGATCTTCCTGACCCAGGGACCACACCTATGTGTCCTGCCTTGCAAGTGAATTCTTTACCACTGAATTACCTGGGAATCCCAGTAAGTAGCAATAGTCTGTTTATAGGAAGTTTTAATGAAACAAGTGGATATTTTTGTTTAAATAACCATTACCGACTTACCACAAAGTCAGTTAGGAAGATGCCACAGAAACAGAATAATTTATTACCAAAGATCAAGTCAAGCAGGTATCAGTTAGCTCCCCATTATTTATTAAGAGAAAACAGGCTTGCTCAGATGTCATTCTTTTTTTTCCCTGAAAGTCTAATACAATTCCCAGGATTCTGGCAAGTCCCAGAGTCTTTTGCTCATTGCTCATCGTCATCTCTTAACTGGTGTGTGTGTTGTTGCCTCAGTCGTGTCCAGCTCTTTGCGATCCCATGGACTGTAACCTGCCAAACTCCTCTGTCCATGAGATTCTCCAGGGGAGAATATTGAAGTGGGTTGCCATGTCCTCCTCCAGGGGATCATCCCGATCCAGAGATTGAACCTGCATCTCTTAAGCCTCCTGCATTGACAGGTGGGTTCTTTACCACTAGCACCACCTGCTGAAACTCCCTCAACTGGTACCCTATTCTTTTTAATCTCCTAGAAATTACTTTTGGCATAGAGAAAGCTGTACTTATTTAATGTACATAATCTGATGTATTTGAAGACAGATATACACCCCTGAAATCATCACCACACTCTGTGCCATAAACATATCCAATACCTTCAAATATTTTCTCCCATCTTCTTCATTTAATATTTTTTGTGTTAATTAATTTATTTATTTTAATTGTAGGCTAATTACTTTACAATATTGTAGTGGTTTTTGCCATACGTTGACATGAATCAGCCATGGGTGTACATGCATCCCTCATCCTGAACCCCCCTCCCACCTCCCTCCCCGCCCCATCCCCCAGGGTCATCCCAGAGCACCAGCCCCAAGCGCCCTGTCTCATGCATTGAACCTGGACTGGTGACCTGTTTCACATATGATAATATACATGTTTCAATGCTAGTCTCTCAAATCATCCCACCCTAGCCTTCTCCCACAGAGTCCAACAGTCTGTTCTTTATATCTGTGTCTCTTCTCTGTCTCTCATATAGGGTCATTACTATCTTTCTAAATTCCATATATATGTGTTAATATACTGTATTGGTATTTTTCTTTCTGACTTATATCACTCTGTATAATAGGCTCCAGTTTCTTCCACCTCATTAGAACTGATTCAAATGCATAGGATAAAAGCACACCATTAGAGTTACACTCTCAGCAAAATTGTATGTGTAAATGAAGCACTGTTAACTATAGGCCCTGTGTTTACAGATCTCTAGGTCTTATTTATCTTGCTTAACTGAATCTGTGTACCCTCTGATCCACAGCATACACGTGTATTATTTCCCGTGGCTCTTTTCTTTCCTTGTCCGAGTTAGCCTCAGTCATGGAACACTGCTTCTTTGCTTAGATTTTCCCAAAGTACCATTTACAGAAGGCATTCGTGTGGAGGAGAATTTTACAGGAGATTTGAGTTCAACGGCAGACATGAGGAGCAGGGCAAGAGGAGGTCAGAACCCACAACTGAATGTCAAGGATAAAAGCTCGTTCATTCACACCTGCCCCGGTATTTCTCAGTTCTTTATCCCTTCCTTCCTTCCCTCCCTCCCTCTCTCCTTTCTTTCTTGTTTTCTTGCTTTCTTTCCTTCCCCTGGCTTCAGAGTTTCCCCTTCATTTCTCTCTCCACCTTCCTTCTCTTGCACTCAAGAATTCCTCTGCAGCTCTGATGCAAGGTATTTTATTGACCTCTGTATTTCACTCTGGCACATTTTGATTTGTCCCCAAACATTCCAATTAAGGTGAGCTCTAATATAAGAGAGTCTGTTCCCCCTGAGTGGAATCCAATCAACCTCAACTACTGTGGGTTTGCTCCTTCTTACCTTTCTTTTCACTGTCTTCACCTTCTTCCTTCCTCTTTTACCATGCTTTAAGTAGATATAAATGTATGAAGATGTATATTTCTTGGGGGAAAAATCAATACTGTCCTTTGATAACTGCCTTGAGATTGTGTTTCTTTTTTTTCCCTACCCTTCGATCCATGAAGTTGAGCTTTGATGTCCGTGGCTGAATCTGAGACCTCATCATTCATCAAGTCAGTATGAAAATAGGCTTAAAAAAGTCATACAACTGCCTTGTGAACTGCAGTTCTGTCAAGCCAATGTGGCTCACCTGTCAGGCTTAATATGGCAGGCTGAGACAGGTTTGTCCTTTGATTTCATGCTGCCCAGGTAAGGATGGCAGTGACATTATATTTTCAGTTTGTAAGTGTATTATGAGGAAATATCAGCCTTCACCCAACTCACCTACTTGTGTCTTTTACCTTTCCTGCTTTCTAGTCGTCCCTACCTTCTGGCACCAAATAAGTCCTCCTTGGGCACAACTATGATTTTTCAACTTCTGAACTCATGAATCTTCCATAACTCACCCACTAAACATGGAGCCAGAGGACTTGGCATTGTATCTTGGCTTCTCATCCAGGATCCTGTGACTTTGGGTAAATCACTCTCATCACTGAATTTTTATGTCCATATATTTAAAATGAAAGTGCAAGTGTCAGTTGCTCAGTTGTGTCCAATGCTTTGCAGCCCCATGGACTGTATCTTGCCAGACTTCTCTGTCCATGAAATTCTCCAGGTAAGAATGCCGTGGGTATCCAGGCAAGGGAGTGGGTAGTCATTCCCTTCTCCAGGGGATCTTCCTGACCCAGGGATCAAATCTGGGTCTCCTGCATTCCAGGCAGATTCTTTACTGTCTGAGACACAAGGAAAGGATGAATTGGCAATACTGACTCGATGGACATGAGCAAATTCCAGGAGGTAGTGAAGGACAGGGAAGCTTGGCTTGCTGCAGTCCATGATGTCACAAAGACTCATCCATGACTTAGTGACTTAATAAAAATAGTTTCTAGAATGGGCACATTCTCAGACTGTCAGAGGTTTATTGTGAAGATCCACTTTTGAAATGTGTTCAAGAGCTCATAAATGCAAACAAATTATGCAATGTAAGTTGTAATTCTCATAGGATGAAACAACCCTCTGAGTCTGCTGTTTGAAAATTCAATGTATCTACTCATATCTTCAACTTTCTATCCTCTTACATTCAAAGGAAAAAGTTTGAGCAGAGGACAGAGCACTGGAAAGTACACTTTATAGTGTAATTTACAATGATCTATTACAGTGGGTTCTGTGTGTCATGAGCTATATGACCTTGGAAGAGACAGCCAGTGTTACTAAGTATACATCTCAACACCAATAAAGTGCTTACTTCTATAAACATATCTACATTCCAGTATTATCTGTAAAGTTATATAAAATAATGGTAAAGAATAAAAGTCTATCAGACAAAAATCAAATTTATATTCCCTTAGAGGGTCCCACTGTGCCTAACAAATTCTTAGATACATAGTAACTTCTCAAACTCCGTAAATTGAATGCAAGAATTCACTCTTTTGCCACAGCACTGTTCTCAGCTTCAGCAGATAGTCTCAATCTCCTAACACTAAAAACATTTATGACATTTTCTACACTTCCTTCTCCTTCTTCATATACTGTCAGTCATCAAGTCCAGTTGATTCTACTGACTCAGTATTTTTGAAATCCCCCTGCTCTTTACTGCTACCTCTTTTTATTAGATCTTCAAAACTTTTTTTCTGATTTTATTGAAGTGACCATTTTCAAACAGAAATCTGATATGACTTTTTCCTACTTTGGGTGTACTGTACTGTTGCATGAGTTTGGAACCAAACTGTCTGAGATAGACTCTGCCGCTTTTTATCTCTGTGGCCTCAGCGGAATTATCTCCGTTCATCGATTTCTTTCTGTGGTGACTGTGAGTGTGTGCCTTTCAAATCTCCAATTGCATGGGGCCTCAGATGGACTGATGGTCCCGGGTGTTGCGCTCTGAAATACAGGAGCACATTCACACTGAGGCCACGCTTCACACAGGCTCCACTGAGAAGTGACCGAAAACAGAAGGGCTACTGAAGCAGACACATTCCTGGGGTACACGGCATCCCTCTGAAAGTGCTTTCTGACCTGAAAACATCCCATTGGCTTTGTGGAACATCCTCAGATTCACTACAGTTTTAAACTCTTTCACTCCTTCTTTTTCTTCTTCACAAAGGCTAGACCTGCACTGTGGTCTGCACAGCTCCCCCTACCGTCACTGATCCTTTTCCATTTTTCCTGTAATGAACTTCTTGCGTATTGAATTCTGTCTTGATATTTTGCTTCTTAGAGGATCTAGACTAATCCACTTCATCTGCAAGATAAATGTAACAGTAGTGTCTCCTTTATAGGAATATGATGAGTATCAAATATCATATGGATATAAAACATTATAAAATAGCTTGCTGCTATTATGGTCATTATTTTCCATTTACTCAACATAGCATACTGTATCATGTTTCAGTTATATATACACATACACACTCCTCTGCCAAAAAGAGAATCTGTTTTATTCCAGTCATGCAGAGTAACAACTTATCCATCAGGGTCAAGCTCTTAACTCATCATTTATGCCATGCCTTTTTTAACTCATCTTTTGGTTGTCACTGTTTCCCTGTAGCCCTGGGTATGTCACCCTCCTACTACTCACATTAGCACTAATCCCATTGTGTGGCCACTAATTAATGTGGCTACTTCTGGACCCTGAGGTTTTCAATGGTTTGTATTTTGTCATATCTACTTGTGTTGATAGTACTGTGTTCGTTTTAGAGGCTAACATCGTAGGTTTTAAACAATACATTGATCAAATGGATGCCTATATAAATGTATCACGTTGATTTGGTAGCAATATAAGGGATAAAAGAAGCCATGATATCACTCATACTGTGACATCTGGCTTCCTTTGTTTGACTAAAATCTGTTACACATGGAACTTCTTAAATTTTTCAGTATCAACCAAGTTAAACAGCTGTCCTTGGTTTTAGTGGAAAGGCACCTTAATAAAAAATAGACACTATTCTTCCATAAATCACTTTGTCCTTCTACAAGTTTCTTCAGGCTCTAACAAGCTATAATTCTAAGTCAAAGTCAGGCAAAAGCTACTGAAAACTCAACATTAGTCTTAGTTTCACAGTTTTATCTTGAGTCTTCAACAAGAAGTTTAATACAGGCTCAAGAGGATAAGGCTGGAGCGATGTAGCTCCTTCTCTTCTATCCCAATCTTTGCCCCATATTCCTGTCCAGTTGATTCTACTTTTACTTCGCATTTATACTCCAAATTATGCCTTCTTATAGGAGAACTAGTAAATGAGTAATTGGAAGGAGGTGAGGTCAGAGAGATAACAATGAGCTAAATTGAGAACATTTTAATGACCCTGGATTGTACCCCAAGTGAGACAAAGAGACGTTGAAGGCCTTTTAAATATATTTTCAAGGTTTCCAGGTACACACCTAGAATCACAAACTTTTATGTTCCTCAGTAAAATGAACACGTGGATCTAGGAACCAGTGGTTGGAAGCAGGCATGGCACTTTAACCATCACTCCCAATGATCCACTTGGAGGATTTAAGCTTCCTTTTCCTGCAACTGTAGACTCTGCCATGGTGTGGATTCTAATTTGTAAAGTGGGAACATTACCACAAGCAGACAAAACAAGAGTTTTATGTTGAGCTATGGTTTGTGCCCAGGAGCTTCAGATATCTTGCATCCAGGGACAGCAGATAAGAGGACTATAGAGTCATGGAATTCTCTAGAACAGAATACTGGAGTGGGTAGCTTTTCCCTTCTCCAACAGAGATGGTAGCTGAAGGAAAATGGGATGCAGATTGGAGAAAGGAGGATGGAGATGAGTATAATTTGTGGCCCCAAGACTAATTACCTAGGCAAGAATTGTAGGTTTTCTCACTAACATCCCTCTTTTAAGTTCTCCCTCAGGAATCCAGGAGGAGTTACCCCTCCACCACCCAGTGGATATGAATGTACTTTGGGAAATGCTGATGCATCATACGGATCTTCCTTCAAAGAAGGACTTACTGCCTTAGCTCCTGGACTTACTGTAAGTGCATAGCTTTCAGTGTCCAAAACTATGGTGGTGGTGGTTTAGTTGTGCCTAACTCTTGTGACCCATGGACTGTAGCCTGCCAGGCTCCTCTGTCCATGGGATTCTCTAGGCAAGAATACTGGAGTGGGTTGCCATTTCCTTCTCCAGGGGTCCAAAACTATAGGTCTTGCCTTAGCAGGCCCATCTTTCTCAAAGGAATGCTTTTCCCAGGGAAGCCTAATTTAATGTCTGATTGAGATGGAAGAATAATGGTCCAGATATTTTGGTCCAACGTGGAGTAGTTCTAAGAGGATATTGTGTACCTAGAGTTTCCTGTGTGCTGAGTAGAGTTTATCAAGACCATATCTCAGCTGTATAGCTCCCTCTGCCTGATCCTGCTTCCCTTCCTCTATTTCTACAGATGTTGGTCACAAGGGCTTCTATAACAAATATTCTGCTTGATAAACTTTGTCTGAATCTGTTTATCAAGATGCACATCCTGTGACAGGTCAACAGGTGACTTCTATTTCATGAATGGCCTTTTTTCTTTTCTGATAACCACTTATTTGTATCAATATTCAAATTTTAGAGGCAAATGGGTGAATTGGGGCTGGAGATAGCTCAGTTGGCCCAGCCTAAATATCTAGAAAGTGTGAGACTCTCTGGGGCTAATTTTAGATGGGTGGAGAGAAAGAAAGATAGGCAAAAAAGAAGAAGAGGTGAATCAGAAAATGGTATAAGGCTGGGACTACATGGGATAGGGCAAGTCACTGAAAAAATAAGGGTGGGGATGTGGTCAAAAGAATGATTTTTAGTAAGAATATCAGACAAATATTGTGTATTTACACAATTTACATTGTGTGGCTTATCTCAAATAAATTGTTCCTTCATCTTTGTGTTTGCATGCTGTCTCTTCAGTCGTGTCCTTCATCTTCAATATCCTGTAAAAGTCTGTCATATAAAGAAGCTTTACATGATAACTTTTGGGAAACTGAATCATGCCTGGATTCATTTGTATAGACCAGGGAGCAAGCTGATCCATTAATGTATCAAATTCATTGGAACTGGGAACTCAGAGTCATAGGGGACCTTGGTGACACAAACTCTAGGTGCTGGGACTGAATCACATGTAAATCTTAAGCAGTACTTGGGTTATATCTGTTCACTTGTTTATTTTATTCTCTGACTGTGCTTTCTTACAACAGCTCCCATCATGCAACATAATGGCATATTCGTAATTAACACTTCTGAAATGTTTGTGGAATAAATGGAAATGGATATACATTAATATACTTGGTTGTGCAAGTATCTTTCTCCCTACTCAACTATGAACCTCGGTGAATCTGCGTCATTTATTTTCTTATTACCCAAAGTGCCTAAAACAATGCTTGGCTCACAGTCAATCAATTACTCATTGAGAAGAATTCCTGAAAGTTGACTGTCATCTCAAAGCGAGACTCTGATGCCAGCTATCAATTTGCTGCCTCTCAGCTCTTCATCTACCCTTCATTGCCTACTCTATGATGATAGAGATGACTTCTGTGAATGTTCCCTCTTCGCTGCCTGGCACAATGCCCAGTTCTGTTAGTAGAGGGCACTGGGAAGGCACTGCAAGAGGAAGAGTTGCTTCTTGGCGCTGGTGGGCTCACTTATCAGGATCTCATTTTGCACGGATGTACCCAGCACCTGGTCCCTACAGCAGGCACCGCTCGGGGCCCGGCTCCTGTGGTGCATGCGGGCCAAGCCCACCCAGCGGCCAGCAGCTTCCGCCAGCAGCTGCTCTTCATCATATACCCTGATCAAGTGGGGTTTATCCCAGAAATGCAAGAACTCTTCAACATACGTAAATCAACCAATATGATAAGCCACATTAACAAACTGAAGAATAAAAACCATAACGATTATCTCAGGAGATGCAGAAAATGCTTTTGACAAAATTCAGCATCCATTTATTATAATAATAATAAAAAAAACACTTTATGGAAAGTGGGCATAGAGGAAACATACTTCAGTGTAGTAAAGGCCATATGACATGTCCACAGGAAACACCATTCTCAACTGTGGAAAAACTAAAAGCATCTCCTACCTCTTAGATCAGGGATAAGACAAAGTGTCCATTCTCTCCACTTTCATTCAACGTGGTTTTGGAAGTCGCCATGGTAATCAGAGAAGGAAAATGAAATAAAAGGAACCTTGGGCAAGTTTATAGTTGAATGCCTCCAATGAGATAACTCTCTGTGAACCATCTTTCTCAGGACCTTCAAAGATGGCTTTTTAGCAAGTTTTAGAAGAGGAATTTTCAGAAATGTCCCCTGGCATGGCAGTACAGAGATATTTCTGTCATCTAGTGAGTCACTGGCATGCCCTCTCTGAGAAAGTCTGGATCTCAGGCCTGAGAGTCTTCTGTCTCAGTCCTAGGGACACTAGTTGGTCTTTATACTTGAAACTCCTGTATTCTTTAGCATTCACTCTACTTATTGTTGGGTTTCCCAGCTGTTACTAGTGGTAAAAACTGCAATTCAGTCCTGACTGCAATTCAGGAGCTGCAGGAACTGTGGGTTTGATCCCTGGGTCAGGAAGATTGCCTGGAGGAGGAACTGGCAACCCACTCCAGTATTTTTGCTGGAAAATCCCATGGAGAGAGGAGTCTGGCAGACTACAGTCCATAGGGTCGCACAGAGTTGGACACAACTGACTTAGCACACGCGCAAGCTCCTTATTGTCAGTATGTAATTATTTCAAACCCCTTTTATAGTGAGATTCTTTATATTAAATTTAACCTTTTACCCTAAGACTCTGTGAGATTTCTGTCTCCTGATTAGATACTGACTATATAGTAACAAACTCAGGACAACTCTGAATGGAAAATTCACTTTTCCACATATTTATAAATTTCGGATATTTTTCACAGGGTCCACAGAATTCAGCAAACTTAAAATCTAGAGGAAATTCAGATTAATGCACTGTTCTCTAAAGTAGTAATAGTATTCATAGATCAATTATACATAAATATAGGCATGTATGTCAAATGAAATAAAATATGTGAATACTAGGTACAAAGAAATAGATTTTGATTTTGGCTTTCACTATGAGACTTTCTTAGAACCTATATCATGTCAACGTGAAATATGAACTTCTGAGAGGTGGATGCAGTACCAACAGTTTCCAAAGTCTGTTTAGCCACATTCTCTGACCTTAGCATCTTACTGAACATGTGGTTCTCAGATGTGTGCTGAAGAGCTGCCTGTAGGATTGTCTGGTAGGTGGTTCACATATCAGTCTCAGCACCACTTGAGAAATAGTTGGAAATGCAAATTCTAGGGCCCAGCCCATCTTTTTGAATCAGAAGCTCTGAGTGTGAAGTCTAACAATCTGTATTTTAAAAATGTCTCTAAGTGATTCTATCTACACCTGTAGGTATGCACTCAAGTTTGATGCATTGATTTAACTCACTACTATTCCTTTATGGTGAGGAATCTCAAAAAAAAAAAAAAAACATCAGATACTTCCTGGTTCAAGAAACTTGCAAAAAAAAAATGTCTATGTTCAAACAAATTTCCATTTCTGGTTCTTTCTTCTATGTCCACCTTCAGTTGTGACTGCCTCTGAAACCTTCCCTTAATTATTACTCCCATTTTCTGTGTGTGCGAGATAGGAAAACAGAAAATGGGCTTGCATGTATTAAAAAGAACAAGCAAAGTGTGTAAGTATAAAATAGCATTTCAGAAACAGGAAACACTTTGCCCCTGAAGTGCTCAAACGCTAAAGCAATAACCATTTGCTAGAACATGGTATAGAGGAGTCAAACATCAAATGAAGTTGGGACCAGAGAGATGGTCTTTAAAGGCTACTCATTCATGTGATTTTTCAGTTTTATGATTTCATAGTATGATTTTTTAAATCTTATCAAATAATCCAAAATGTTCCTGTGGGAAGAGAAATGTTTTGAATTGAGATAGAATCCTACTGATCTCTGCCTCCCCCAGCTCTCTCTCCACAAAAACGTATGCTGGTCCAGATGCTTCTTCTCATTTTCCATTTAGGTGGCATTTTCAAATCTAGAAAACAATTTTGTAAACTCCCTGCCGTTTCTGTTTGCTTGGGCTCTGCAGAGGCCCAAATAATTTATGGAAAAACAGCACCTGTGTTTTCCCCGGGAATGGCTTTCACAACATTGATGAATTTCAAATGAAGGGCGTCTACCTCATTCAAGTTAAATGGAAAGAAAGTTCTCTTTACATTTCCAGACACTGATGGCAGAATATGCTCCAAAACTATTTTCTCATCCCATAGAAACACCAAACTGTATGTAAATATTTCTTTCCTTCAAGAGAAAGAAAGATGGTAGATCCAAACAGTTTTATCAGAGGAAGAAATTCTAGGGTTGATGTTTTTGAGGATATATCCAACAAGATTGATTCACTGCTTCATAAAGGCAGGAAAATTTTCTGGTGTACTCATTTACCTATTAAATAAATATTAATATTAATTTATTCAGCCTCTTCTGTATCAGGAATCATAATAATAAATAAATATATTTTATTGGGGTTCACAGTGGACATTTAGTTCAAGAAGGAGGACTGAACTTAAGCTTATCTCTGCTTTCAACTTAAGTGGGGGCTCTGTGAACTATGGCCTATAGACAGACTATCTGTTTTTATAAATAAAGTTTTATCAAAGCCACAATCATTCATTTATATATTGCTTTCTATGGTTTAATATTCCTGCTTTTTTCTTTGTTTCATTTTGAGTAGTTTCTACTGCTATACTTTCCTGTTTGCTAATCTTTTCCTCTGAAAGGTTTACTCTGTCACTGATCCCATTCATTGATTTTTTTCCCTCCTCCCATTTCACAGATAATCTTTTTCATCTCTAGAAACTATAATTTGACTTTTAAAAATATTTTCTGTGTCTCTATTTAACTGATTTAGCTTTCTTTTCTTTAATGTCCTTCTACTTTAAAAAAAGGAAAAAAATCGATATCACTCCTGGGTCAGTTTAGATTCGTTGGCCTTTATTTTTTCTCATTATGGGTCATAATATTTTGCTTCTTTGGCTTCCTGGTAATTTTTAACTTGGTACAGACATTGTGAATTTTATCTTACTGATGATGGGTATTTTTGAATTCTTTTAAATATTATTGGACTTTGTTCTGGGAAGCAATGGGATGCAATTAAATCATCTGAGGTCAGGAAGAGAAGATAACAGGGAAGAGGATGAGAAGAAAATAGTAGCGCACCTGCTACACAGAGGCAGGATTTACCTGCCTGAATGAAACAAACAATCAAACAAAGGACAAAACACATGAAATAATGGCTTTGAAGACACTGGGCATGAGGAAAGGAAAGACAGCCATCCCTGAAAGATGCAAAACAAGGTGAATCAGAAACACAATTGGAGATCTTGGAATAACAATGTGGTTGTTGGAAAAGAGCTTGGAGGCCATGCTTAGGAACTGGAGCACTCATGAGTCCAAGCTTTCCCACCTGGATGGACCAAAATATTGATGGACCCCTCTGGCCACAAGCAATTTGGTCTGTTTATCCCTGAGTGTTATACTGATAGTATTATTTTCTATGTATTATAGAATGGAGAAGCTAGGGAAGAATATGCTTAAGAGCTTAAGATCTAAAAGACAGCTTTTAAGACAAGTGAGAGAAACAACCCTGTTCGTATAAAGAGCATGCCTCAAATATGTGTGTGTGTGTGTGTGTGTGTGTGTGTGTGTGTGTGCGCACGTGCGAGCGCATGCTGTACTGTGATTAGTCGTGTCCAATTCTTTGCAACCCTCTGGACTGTAGCCCAACAGGCTCCTCTGTCCATGGGATTCTCCAGGCAGGAATACTGGAGTGGGTTGCCATGCCCTCCTCCAGGGGGTCTGCCTGACCCAGGGACTGANTCGATCAGTCGTGTCCAATTCTTTGCAACCCTCTGGATTGTAGCCCAACAGGCTCCTCTGTCCATGGGATTCTCCAGGCAGGAATACTGGAGTGGGTTGCCATGCCCTCCTCCAGGGGGTCTGCCTGACCCAGGGACTGAACCCGAGTCTCCTGCATTGCAGGTGATTTCTCTGCTGTCAGCCACCAGGGGAGCCTATATAGATATTTTTGCGTATATGTATATGTATGTATACATTTGAAATTTACTTAAAGAGTAGATATTAAAAGTCCTCAGCATAACAAAAAAAAATTGTAGCTGTGTGTGATGATGGATGTTAATTAGAATTATTGTGATTATTTTGCCATATATACATGTATCATTGTATTCTACACTTGAAACTCATGTTATGCTACTTGCCAATTAAATCTCAATAAAAACAAATAAATAAGTAAAAAAGAGTGTCTTGTA